GTTACAATATCACCAGTGCAACCTAATCGGAATACAGCTCGCAAAACGAGAATACCTACCACCACAAAAACAAACGAAAACCACAACAACACTACTAAAAAAGAGAACCTCCCAACAGGAGAATACTCGAGTGCGCTCCCAACAGGAGAATTAAGTTGCACTCGAGCCCACAGGGACAAACCAAACACAAAACAACTAAAAACTACAAGCCAACACAAACAACACAAAAGGAAAAACAGAAAAACAACAAAATAAGAAAAATAAATAAACAAGATGAGCCCTTCCTCGTCGCACGACCTAGCCCAACCAGCAGTGAAGCGATCAACACAAGATGGATTCGAGGTCAAGAAGCCCCTTACTGAAACTGCAGAAAGCCTAACAGTAAGTTCAAACTAAACCCTAAAACGCATCCCCGAGTCGACCCGCCAATGATCGAGAAAGCCGCAATCAACCCTCACACCGGAGCCACCCATCCTAATCTAACACCACTAGACGAGACGGATAGCACCAAACCCTGGTCGCCTAACACCACTAGCCGAACCAGGAGGGTGAGCGAAAACCGAGCCATCAACCCCAACCACCGCAACATGAGCCGCCACAGCAATCGGGGGTCCCTCCTCACCCAACGCCGCGCACCCCAACAGACTCCACCACAGCAAATTGACACCAGGGATCAGAGCCCCACCGAGGAGGCAGAGCTCCGCCGAGAACGGCCAAATCAAAGGGGCGGGCATTGGCTGATTGGGAAGAGAGAAGAGCAAATCCAAGCCCGTCGCCGACCGGGAGAGGCTCAACCGCTAGAGAAAACCCCATACACTCCCGGGATTCGGAACCCTAATTGCCGCCTTCCAGGGAGAATCGATGGAGAAAGACGGCATGGGGAGGAGAAGGACGGTCATGACGACCCCTGGCCGTGCATCTGCCGGCGGAAAGGAAGGCCAATCGGCCGGATTAAAGATGTCCTCAAGAGCAGATTTTTTGGGGATCGGGTCGCGAGAGCTTGGACAAAAATAAGCAGTATGTAAGAGCACCCACAATGCTTTGGGTTTCTTAGAAAAAAGTTCATGCCATGTAAGGAATAGACCTAGTCTATAAAAAAGTGTTCTCCAATGCAATTAAAAGTGGAACTAGTCTAGCTTATGTGGCAATAAAAAAATGAGACCTAGTCCACACTTGGGTCTATTTTAGACCCAAGTACAAACCCAAGCACTCATCATTTATTCCTCATTTAATTTTTCTTTTAATAAATGAAATATACTAGAGCATTTTTATTGGTTGTCATGTATTCTAGACCTAGTACTTTTTGGTTTTGCATTGGATAGATTTTGGTTTTTTTAGTTTAGGTTTGTCCATGTCATTATGGACTTAAGTCTATTTATTTGCCACATATGCAAAAAGAGACCCAAAGCATTGTGGATGCTCTAAGTAGAAAGTTTAGTAGTCTATTATTCAATCATGTGAATCATGTGTATGTATACAAATGAAAATAATTTTTATTTTTTACATTACATGTATGTTTTTGTAATATTAAAGTCAAAAGTTATATAATGAGTATATCGCATTTTATAATTTTTTTCACCAGTAAAAATAAAAGATAAAAATATAAACTATTTGACTTGCATATTTTTATATTGATGCAATATTCGCTTATTACGACCATTTATTTAGATAAAACGATATTGAAATTAATATCATAGTAATTGTATACGAAAAATTAAAGGATTTGGTTATAACATAAATAATAATTAACTAATTTGAATAAAAATTTTGCTTAATGGGTTGAAAAAAAAAAGAAAGAAATAATATTTAAATAAATAACTTGAAAAAAAGCTTTATAATAAAACTAACGTTTAAAGTGACTTTATTATTGGTTAACAGTAGCAATTATATAATAAAATCTATTAATATATAATAAGGATTAACTTAATTAATTTTTAGAAACTATTTCCCGCCAAAAACATTAATTACTGCCTATAAATAGTAATTTAACAAAAAAAGCATTAATTGCACATAATTTCTTTTTATATTAATTTAATGGTACAAATATCTGTATATATCTATACAAATATCCGTACAAACAAGCATTAATTGGCTTACCAAACGTTCTTTTTGATATTAATTTAAAGGTACAAATATCCGTATATATCTATACACCCTCAATGTTATTTTAAATAAATATATTTAAAAAACTCTATAAATCAGTTGGTTTTGAAATAACCGATAAAAATGGTAATGATATTTTTTGGATTTCGGTACAATAAGGAGAATTTTTTGGAAGCTACATAAATTCGTACAAATATTTGTTTTTCTTTAAAATATAGATATATTCGTTTTTCTTTAAAATATAGTTGTATTTCTTTAAAATATACATAATTTCCTAAAATCGCTCTTATTTATTTCCGATTAACAGCAATTATTTATGGAATAAATCATTATTTCACGCTAATATTTTCGATTTTTTTTGCTACATTAACATAACATGGAGCATTGATTGCAATAGATATATACTATAGAATAAATCTCCTATTTTTAAGCCTCCATATAAATCTAAAAATCATTTATATGATAAAATTGCAACAATATCTTTTTATTTAAATAATTTTCATCAAAGTAGCTCAGGGTGTAGTTCCTGCGAACTCTGGTCCGGGGCAAGAACGTGTTACCTCGCATTAAGGGGCATTTCTTTTTGTACTATTGGAGAAATCCTCAACGACAGGATCACTTTTTTCGGTACCAACGTATATAAAAGGATATTTACTACCACAATTATTTCTTCACGTCATTCACAACATTCAGAGAAAAAATTATACAGATAAATTTTAGAATACAACAATAATATCATGCCGCCGGTCTGGGATACACTCAATTCCGTGAGTAGAACAAACAAACCTTATTTGCGATTGAAAGCAGTCCGAATATTTGAAACGCATCACGAACGAGAGAGCTGGAATGCATTCTATATACTGTTTCATGGTGAACAGGTAAATATTTTTATTAGTAATATCAAATTTATAAATTTATTTTATAAATTTATTTTTATTAGTATTCCAAATAATTTATTTTTTTTTTGTGAAAAAGTATTTTAATTAATATTTATAAATTTATTTTGTAGGGTGCATTTATTAAAGGCATAATATGTTCTACAAATATGGGAGCATTTCGAGGTGTACTGAACGAAGGCGAGGTGTATGCAATCAGCAACTATGTCGTTGAATTTAATCATGGGAAGAAAGATAGCATAACCAACATATGGAAACTTGTGCTTCACAAAAGAAATCGTGTTATCAAATATGGTGGGATTTTCCCTCAAAATGGTGATCTTTTCCTCAATATTAGCAAGGAGCGTGAGATATTTATGATATTTTAGGGTTTGATAAGAATTCCAATTTACATTATGAATTTCATTGTTATTTCATGTC